GTGCTTTCTCGTCTGGTGCCTGGAGCCGGCCCTGAACAAGACACAGTTAAGTATCTTGATTATGGTCCATAAGTACCTGCATGGGGAGAAGATATTTGGCATTAGATGGCATTTTAATCTAGTACACAAAGGCATAACAATAACCAATAGCTAGAAATCGAAGCTAGACAAATTCAAACTGGAAATAAGGATAAATAACCATTGGACCAACTTACCAAGAGATGTGGTGAATTCACCATCAGTTGACATCTTTAAACAAAGATTGGATGTCTTTCAGCCAGAAGTTATAGACTTGATGCAGAAATAACTGGGTGAAATTCTGTGGCCTGTATTACGCAAGAGGTCAGACTAGAGGATCGTAATGGTTTCCGTTGATCTTAAATTCTATTCATGCTGTTTCAAGCAAAATTGCACAGTCCTAAAAGTCAGCAATAAAATAATTAAACAGAAACAGTAGCAATATGTGTAGAGTCTTATGATGCCATTGTAGGTCGGTTAACTAGGTGAAATAAACCAAGCATACTGTAGACACTTATACACTGCTGATTAAAAAGAGCTGTATTTTAGTTATGTCTTTCAGTCACTTTAAAAGTTTACTGACGTTTAATAATGTGATTTCAGTTAGGATGACTATAACATTTTGCTTCCTACCACAATGCAAATTTTAATGCTCTTCTCAGATCCCAGTGATACAGAATTTTGTGAAATTTAAGTTTATTTATTTGTTTATTTTAGCTTCCTAGTGACGACACTGAAATATATGAGACTGCATCACAATGCTTGTCATTGTTGGTTCAGCTGTATGGAGGAGACAACTTGGACAGTATGTCTCCAGAAAACATGGACAGCTTTGCTGAAGTATTGAAGTCCAAGAGGGATCTAAAACAGCAGAAGCTTTTGTTGAGAATCATCAAAAGATTGGTGAGTCAAACAGATATAACTTCTTGCCATCCAAAATTCCAATTTAACTGTCTGTCTAGGCTCTACTATCCCCTGGATAAAAACTTTTTTGAGAGCTGTTTTTCCCCTTTAAGTAAACATTTCTTTTTATAAAGAATATAAACGATTTCTAAAGAAGCAAAAATCCCATAATATTAGTATTTGGTTTTTTTAAAAATCCATTTTAATTTCTTTGGAAGAAAATGTCAGCACCTGGACCCATGCCTGTTTTATTGTCTACATTTAGAACCTCTATAAAAGGACTTTTTTTCCTTCAGTTAACCATTTAACTGTTTTAATAGAAAGCTTTAATTGTTTATATAGGTATTTAGTACCTTGAGTTTAAGAATTATAATAGAAAATTATTTTGAATTCCTTCCAAAAACACTAAACTTGTAATAAAAATTGCTACTCAGAAACTTATAGTGCTTGATTTCATGTCAGATGCCGACTGTTTTGTAGTTGAAGTAAACTTTTATATAGACTATTGATTGTTCATTCTCATCAAGTGGTAGAGGCTACTCCTGGTGGAATGGTTATAACATAGATTATCAGTCAACAGAAATCAGACAAGCACTTCACCTTAAGTAAGTGAAAAGTTACTGACATGTAATGACTTCAATTCCTCTCGTGCTTCGCCAATACAGATGGCAATGTTGTTTCTCAGAAGTAGATTAATGATACGCCTGGCAAATCACATGATTTGTAACTTTCTTGTAAGTCCCACCATGCTTGTCATCTTGAAGTCTCTTGAAAGATCCTTTGGCTGGACTCGCTGCTAGTCTTGGATAATTACCTTTCCATCTGCTGTATTTGCTATTTACTATAATAAACAAATGTCTGTAATTATTTTAGTGAGATTTTAGGATTTCCTCTCGAAGCAGTGAAAGCAGGTTTTATAGGTAACGTGACTGAGAATATAGTAAATCTTATATTATTTCTGTGAACCTTAAAAATTCCTGTTCACAAGAGATTATTATTATTATGTCAAAATTACAGTAATCACCAAACACACTGAAATATTATCAGATCTATTTAAGGTTAACTCAGCCCACTTTCAATTATTTATGGTGAATTTTGTAGCTAGAGAAGAGTTTCTTAGACTTTTTCATAGTTGGTCAAAATATTAATAGAGAGATTATGTGCACCAGCTTCCCTTCCCATTCAGAGTTGCTTTCACCACCACCACTTTTACATCTATGATAGCATAGCATCCCTGTTCCATCCATAACTGCTACTTACATAGGCAAGGAATATTAGAGAAGTATTAATATATTCCTGTAATGGCTTCTTTTAATATAGTGTATCTGCTGGAAATGAGGAAGTGCCGGTTCCATGCTCTCCCGCAAGTGGTCCATGTACTATAATTTTAGAATCTTTGATTCAGAATATGTGAATGAAATCATTACCTTATTGGGCAGACATTATTTGAGAGAGAAACTCATTTGTGTGATTTTCATTTAATAATATGAACTCATTAATTTTTTTTTCTTCTACACATAGTGCACATACTGTGGACAGAGTTGGGATTTTAGGGGAGAAAATTTTAGACCATTTACAAGAGCTTTGAACAGTGATGGAACTGTGATAGATATTTTCCTTTTTAGGACTGCCTTTCTCCATTGAGGTTCAGACTGAACTTTTGCTATCTTAATTTATTTGGATTTTTTTCCCCAAAAAAATACATGAAGAGAAGAAAAATATCCAGGACAGACTTTTTAGTTGAATCTGACAGACTGTACATACTCTTTAGTAATCCCTTGTTTATGGTTTTATTTTAATGTAAATAGAAACTATTAGGAATGAAAAACAGAAAAATGTACTCCACTCAACCTTTTAAAACTATTTATATTTTTGGCCCTTTGACGCACAGGCTGGTCAGCCTTATTCTGAGATTATTTATTAGTGTTTCCAGAGAAGGAATTGACAGAAACTGAATAAGAAATGTTGGCCTGCCACAAGGAAATGCAGTATGATTTTGCACTAGTGCTACTTACACAACTTACATTCTGGTTGCTTCATTTTGGAATAAGCAATATTGGCATTTGGATCTCCAAGATCTTTCTTACGACCCTTTGTATTCTCTGCCACTGCCATCAGAACTTTCTGACTTAGGAAAGTGGTCTTGTTTTGCATACTAGTTCCAAAATCATTTCACCTTGCTGCTTTACAGGATGCTGATAATCTTTTGATTTAGCCTGCTCTGCAAAGGTACAGAATACCGTACTACAGTCCAGGAAATCAGCTACATTGAAACATCTCGCCAAAAGTAGAAAAGGTTTTCACTATGGGAGCAAATAATTTTTATTTTGGACTGTTTGCTTTACTCAAAATTTCTTGGCCTCTCCTTATCTTTAATCAGGGCGCACCTCTCTGCTATCAGTTTACCATCTTCCAGTGGCCAATGATGCAGTTTTAAGTCATTCTACCGTCAAAGAATTCCTTAAAGAACTGATCAGTATCTTCCATTGGTTAGAGAATCTTTAGCAATGTGAGCTCTCAGCTTGGTGGTGAGAAAGGTAATGTTTGCACTCTTTAACCTAGGGGGAGAATGCTCTTTATTCTGCTTGTCAACAAAAAAAGCTGTAGTGAGAAGAATGAATAAACTGCCGGCTTTAATGGCTGATCCTCCCTTCACTGTATTCCACAGACATTTGTTCTACATCCCAATCCTAAATTCCTGCCAAAAGTTCACCTAAATCAGAACTTTAATCTTTGTGGTGTTCTTCCCAGCACCTCTTTCTCACCCATCAGAAACTAGATTCCACACCATAGATGACAAAAGGTACTTCAGCTCTTGTTTGTGTAGGACATTTAGCAATCCATCTAGATTTATGGTAGTTTTGGGGGATCAGTGCCAAAGTATCTTTGAGTGGATTAGGCTTATATTAAGATGTTAATTTTAGGTAGGGTGATCTCCTCATGATCTAAGGGCTTACTCTGCTGGGGCTAAGACAGCATCAGTGACATGCTTTTGCACACTTATAGAAATGTTCAGGACTGCTACCTGGAATTCTGTACACACATTTACTCAGCACTGTTCTTTTGACTTAGCTTTAATTTTTTTTTTATTATTGTAGTAGCTCCTGTAGGCCCTGATCAGTCCTCATTGTGCTAGCCTCTGTGTGCACAAACACCAAAAAGACAGTTCTGACACCAGAAAGCTTACAGTCTAAGTCAAACTGATGTTTGCTTTACGAGGTCAGTTCTGCAATCCTTAAGTAGAATTCCTCATTCTGCCTCAGTGGGAGTTAAACTCGTCACTAGACTCCCACAAGAGTTACTATGCTGAGGACACCTGGAAGAAGAGAAAACAATTAGTTACAATAGTGCCTCTGATTCTTAGACAGTGCTACCTTTGTAACCTCAGCTCCAAATATTTAGAGCCACAAGGAAGTGCTGGTGCAATTCCCAACAGGCACAGCTTTTCTAGAAGTTTTGTAAAACTTAATGGACCTGTTGGCATATCTAGTATGATTGTGCACTGGCATCACTCTCAAAGAACCTCAGTTACTAGGGAGAAGGAATTATTCTTGGTGATACTTTTTCTTTGTATTGACCTTTAAAATGCATAAATTAAATTACTGTGGTGGCCCATTTTCTTCCATTGCTTTGAGTGGAAATTTCATCAGAAGAGATGCTTGTTAAGTTGTTAAGATGCTTGTTAAGATGTAGGTTGCTGACGTATATTTGTTCTTACTTTGATCGAAATCAACCAGTTGTTGCTATGCTAAACTTAAAGTGGAGAATGTATGTTTCTGATACCAAGCAAACAATCTTCATCCTGCATTGTTGTGTCCTTTTTCAATCATACAGAATGCCTTTATTTTATTGACTGCAGTCTCTAATAGAATTTTCTTCAGTATGATAAAACATTTTTATTTTATATAAATTACTAATGCTTTCTTCAACAATGAAAATCCAGTCAATGCTAAGGTGTGTTATGCATATCAGAAACAGGACTTTTTACCCAAAATATTGTGTAGCAAATACATTAAAAGTATTAATGCCACTTCTTTTCTTTATCCTTTCACCATTGTGTCAAGAAGCTCAGTCTGTTTATAAACTCCAGGCAGACCTTTTGTGTAATAGTTATGGACAGGTTTTAATGAAATTTGAGAGAATCTCTAGAAATCACAGACATAGAGGCCTTTAACAGTGTGGTGTTGCTTAGCAACCTTAAGCCATTACATTTCCAGGCTCTGTAATAACATGATATACTGCTCTTCCGCCAGTCCCTGGTGAAAATGTAATGGAAATAATCACTTTCTAAAGGTTGTACTCCATGAGTGTTTGGGTGGTAAAAGATTGTTTTTCCATTTCACTGCTGGGTTTTAATCTAGTCTACAAAGTAAGTTTAGTATTGTCCCCTGAATGCTGAATGTGTCGTGGTTGGAATACATTTTAAGATGATATTTTAAAAAGCAGACATAATATTTACTTTAAAAAGCAGAGATAATATTCCTAACTAATGTTAACAAACAATACTGAATCTCTTACAAACCTGCTGTCCTTTTTCTCCACTCAAGAGGCAATGCATTGGGACAAAGTCAGCAGTGAAGAAAACTGTGTTTTAATTTGATAAGAAAACTAATGTTGCTGAGTGTAAGAAGCAATGTAGTGTAATTTATACTAATTTAGATTTCAGTGGGCTCAATTTCCTATTGCACTATACATTGTTCTGATGTTCAGTGTGCCAAGAACTGAGTGAATACTAGAATATTTGTTTGAATTTTTAAACAAATTTGCTTCAGTTTACATGAACATGTGTGTTCTACTAGCATAAATTCTCAATGAAAGCGAAGTTTAAGATCCCTTAATCAAATATTGGAAAGTTTATCTTAAATGCACAGTGAGTATTATCAACAGCACCCATAAGAGCCCTCCAATCAAGGAACAAATAAAATTGTGATTTTTGATCACTCACAACTAAGCAAAACATAGCACTTATAAATAAATAAAATAAGCAAAAAATGAATAAT